TTGAAAATATCCAAAGAAAGGTTTGAGACCTTTGGGTGTAATGGGCTGTAAAAGTAAAAGCTGTGATTTACTGTTTCTTCCAGTTAATGAAACCTGATGGCCAGCCCACCTTCTGTGGAATTCAGTGATCTGCAGATGTTTATATATAATAAGAAGTTTGAGTAAATTGTGGTCATTTTCCTTTTCCTTTTAATGCATTGTACTTCCATGACATTGTGTAACCTTTTTTTGCACAATGATTTTTGTATCATTCAGTTCAAAGCCAAAAATACTACACAAAGATTTATTATTATTGTAAAAGCAAAACAGCTGAATTATTTCTGTTCTTTCAGGTTAAATCAGTCTAAAAATGAAAAATGTTAATATCTAGACATATAACTGTGCATGAACATGCAGTAATAGCATATATGATACACATACACATGGAGATATTGAATACCTGTGTAATTTATGTAAGAGAAGGAAACTCAAAAAAATAGAAGAGATAAGTGCTTATTGTACCTAAAAGAAGAGATTTGGTATTATTTCAACAGAGAATGTCTGTCTTTTGGAATGTTTCTACATTCCACTACCTATATATATATATATATATATATATATATATATATATATATAGGTATATATAGGTATATATATATATATATCTAGGTATATATATATATATATATATATATATAGGTATGTGTATATATACACATACATACATGAATACATTTATACATATAAAGTATATAAAACACCATAAGATAATGTGATTCTTAAGGGCAGCATTTTCCTTCCCCAGGTGTGGTTGTAAAACCTCCAGGCAAACGACTGATCAGCTTAATAACATCTACGAATTAATTCCAAAATATGCTGTGAAGGAGAGGAATTGTTATGCTTAAGATATTTTCATGGAAAACAAACAAACAAACAAAAAAAATACCTAATGTGTAAAGTCTTTTTTTTTTTTTATTGTGTAATTAAAATTCTGTCTTGAAGAATTCTTATTATCACAGTTCATCTTATTACAAAAAATAAAGGAAAGAACACTATTAGAAGGAGTAAGTTGAAACTGCCATGCATACTCTCCTCATATCTACCCCTTTTACGTTGTTAAATGCAATTTTCCAACACCATCTGGATGCAAATGTTAGCTTCAGTCGGAAGAATGGCTAGTTCTCTATATCTTGAATCCTCCACTAGGACTCAATGATTTCTTCCTTGCGGCTAGCATAGAATCATAGAATCATAGAATCATAGAATCATAGAATCATAGAATCATAGAATCATAGAATCATAGAATCATAGAATCATAGAATATCCTGAGTTGGAAGGGACCCTTAAGGATCATCAAGTCCAACTCTTGACACCGCACAGGTCTACCCAAAAGTTCAGACCATGTGACTAAGCGCACAGTCCAATCTCTTCTGAAATTCAGTCAGGCTCTGTGCAGTGACCACTTCCCTGGGGAGCCTGTTCCAGTGTGCAACCACTCTCTCTGTGAAGAACTTCCTCCTGATGTCAAGCCTAAACTTACCCTGCTTCAGCTTAACCCCGTTCCCGTGGGTCCTGTCGCTAGTGTTAATGGAGAAAAGGTCTCCTGCCTCTTGACACCCCCTTACGAGGAAGTTGTAGACTGCGATGAGGTCTCCCCTCAGCCTCCTCTTCTCCAGGCTGAACAGGCCTAGTGCCCTCAGCCGTTCCTCATACGTCTTCCCCTCCAGGCCTTTCACCATCTTCGTAGCCCTCCTCTGGACACTCTCCAACAGTTTCATGTCCTTTTTATACTGTGGTGCCCAGAACTGCACACAGTACTCGAGGTGAGGCCTCACCAGCGCAGAGTAGAGCGGGACAATCACCTCCCTTGACCTGCTAGCGATGCCGTGCTTGATGCACCCCAGGACACGGTTGGCCCTCCTGGCTGCCAGGGCACACTGCTGGCTCATATTCAACTTGCTGTCTACCACGACCCCCAGATCCCTCTCTTCTAGGCTGCTCTCCAGCGTCTCATCGCCCAGTCTGTACGTGCAGCCGAGGGTTTCCCCGTCCCAGGTGCAGGACCCTGGCACTTGCTCTTATTGAACTTCATGCGGCTGGCTGATCGCCCAGCTCTCCAACCTATCCAGATCCCTCTGCAAGGCCTTTCCACCCTCATTCGAGTCCACAACTCCTCCAAGTTTGGTGTCATCGGCAAACTTGCTCAAAATACCTTCTATTCCTACATCCAGATCGTTTATAAAAATATTGAAAAGTACCGGCCCAAAAAAATGGAACCTTGAGGGACCCCACTAGTGACCGCCCGCCAGCCTGACGCAGCGCCATTCACCATAACCCTTTGGGCCCTGCCCGTTAGCCAATTGCTCACCCATCGTATGATGTTTTTATTTAGCTGTATGGTGGACATTTTGTCCAGTAGGATCCTATGGGAAACCGTGTCAAAAGCCTTGCTGAAGTCCAAAAAAATCACATCAGCTGGTTTCCCTTGGTCCACCATACGGGTGATCTTATCATAAAAGGAAATCAGGTTAGTTAGGCAGGACCTGCCCTTCACAAACCCATGCTGGCTGGGACCAATGACTGCTTTGTCCCCCAGGTGCGCCTCAATAAGTTTGAGAACCATCTTCTCCATGATTTTACCAGGCACTGACGTGAGACTGACAGGCCTGTAATTGCTAGGGTCTTCTTTCTGACCCTTCTTGAAAATCAGCACAACATTTGCCAGCTTCCAGTCTACCGGGACCTCTCCAGACTCCCAGGATCGTTGAAAAATAATTGAGAGAGGTTCCGCGATGACGTCCGCCAGCTCTTTCAGCACCCGGGGATGAATCCCATCCGGACCCATGGACTTGTAGGGATCCAGGTGGAGTAGCAAATCCCGCACACGTTCAGGGTCGGTTGGGAGTTTGTCATCCCCACTGTCCCGGTCCTCCAGCTCAGGGCACCCTGGGTCCCAAAGCCCATCATCGGCATTGAAGACAGAGGCAAAGAAGGCGTTAAGCGTCTCTGCTTTGCCTATGTCATCGTCTGTGAGAAGACCTTCCCTATCAAGGAGCGGCCCTATGTATTCTTTAGTTCTCGTTTTTCCATTCACATATCTAAAAAAACCCTTTTTATTTTCTCTCACAGACACAGCCAGCTTCAACTCTAGGTGTGCTTTAGCCACACGAATTTTCTCCCTACAAACACGAACAGCATCCCTGTATTCTTTCCATGTCACCCGGCCCTCCTTCCAGTCGCGAAACACTCTCTGTTTCCGCCTAATCTCCATTAGAATGTTCCTGGTCAGCCACGCCAGCCTCCTGTCCCGCCTGCCTGACTTGCGGTATTTAGGAATTGCCTGATCTTGTGCTTCTAGGAGGCATCGCTTAAAGAGTGACCAGCACTGGTGGACATCAAGGCCTTCAAGAGCAGCTTCCCAGGGGACCTTGCTGACTAGTTCCCCGAGCAGCCTGAAGTCCGCCTTCCCCATATCTAGGGATGAGGTTTTGGTGGCACTTTTCCTTCTGTCACCGTAAATTTTGAACTCAACCACTTCATGGTTGCTATGACTGAGGCGGCCACCAATCACCACATCTCCCACCAGACCCTCTCTGTTTTCCAGCAACAGGTCAAGGAGGGCGCCTTTCCTAGTTGGCTCCGTTAGCACCTGCACCAAGAAGTTATCATCTAGGTGCTTCATGAACCTCCTGGAGTTATAAGTTAATGAGAAAAGCATCAGATTTTCTCTCTTGTACTGTTTTTTGTTTGTTTGTTTGGTTGGTTGGTTTTTTGTTTTGTTTTGTTTTGTTTTTTCCTTTTTAAATATTCAATAAAACTCAAAACTACTGTTCAGTCCCTGAATTCAGTGCCTCACCAAAAGCAAGGTCTAAGTAAATTTTTCAATTCAGACTTCAATACCAATACGATAAGGAAATGTTTCATAATACTCAGGTGCGTTAGCTATGAAATCACTAGTTAGTTCTACCACAAAACCTTTGACAGAACTTCAGGTGTATAATGTATTCCCTAACAGTAACATAAACAGCTCTGACTAAGACAGGTAACTGGCATATTTGTATAAATGTATGTATGTATTTATGATTAGACCTAAAATTATTGAACAGACATAGTTCCCAGGTGCTCACTGATTTCCAGAAAAATAACTTATGTAAAGAATAACTTGGAACAGGAAGCCAAGGAGTCAAGCAACTGAGTACATAAATTAGGTTAGGCACAAGAAAAACTAAAAACTAAAAAAAAAAAAAAAGTGTTCAGCCTTCATGTGAAAGTTAACTAACCCAGAAGCTCACATACTGTCACAACAGTGGGATTATTTATTTATTTTGTCTTTTGTAATTGAAGATGCTAGCAATTGTACAAATTTACTAGAAGTGTTGTGTCAATTTAACTTAATGAATGGCTATCTGAGGTGTTTGGTTTTTTTTTTAGGGAGTTAAGCTAAATTGAGACATATGCCTGTAGCATCATTTCAAATGACTCATTTGAAAACAAAGTTATCAATGACTATCTTAATTGTATGTTATCTGGAAAAGGTCACTTTTTATTATTAAAATAATATGGAAAATCATAATTAGAAAAATGCACATGAAGTAGTTTAAAATTCAACAACAAAGATTATTAAGCTTAACTAAGCTTAACAGGCAAATTAGTATAAACTTGAAACTTATTTTTTCATTCTTTTCAGTACTATCATTTCCTTATACAGTAGCAAAAAGAATTCTTTGTTACTGTTTCTTTCATGTGGGAGGGAAGAGAAGGTTGGAGAAAAAGCACTTTTTTCATAACAGCATATAGCAAAGCATTTGTATATCCTATAGCCATTCCAAAACAAGAAATGTGTCTCAGATTTAGTTCATATAGCCAACCAATGCTGCCATGTCATGCAACACACAGGGAGTGATACAAGAGAGTTAAAGAAATTGATCTCCAAATACAAGAAGGATTGAGTGATTTAAGGGTCCAAATATAGGTCTACACGTACAGGTAGCTAACACTATATATATTTTTTTCTGTTCCAGAGATTACTGAAAAGGAGTCCTAACATTTGTCGATTCAGTTCTTCTCCTGAGCATCATCAGATTTCAAACATACAAGAAAAATTTTGTGGAGATCATCTCTGTTTTGAAGGACAACATCTGGACAGCCAGTAGGAGAGCTGAGGTAGTGGATATTTAAACCAAAGTATTTGGGGAATATGTTTATGAGTGTTATTGCTTGCAGTTATTAGTTCATAAAAGTAAGATCAAACATAGAAGCTTTTGCCAGTAATTCATCTTGAATACCCTTGCCAATAGAACATAGATTAATAAAAAGAGAGATCCAGTTTTCTGGATGTTACTATTAGGTTTCTCACCATGGGTTTGTAGAAGATACTGTCTTGAAAGTGTTCACCACCCCTTGTAAATGTTTTAAAATAATCACTGTGGTATTCTTGGGACCTGAGCATGCTGAATAACTTCTTAAAATAGTTTATGACTCATTTTTAATAGTATTTGATCGATTCTGGAAAACTCTGGAAACAAGAATCAGACACTACATCTAAATTGCACTTCTAAACTCCCAGGTATTTCAGTGTGGCTTGGTCTGGTTCTAGAATATGTTGGGTTTATTATAGGAGTCTGAATTAACAGGCAAGTTCTCATGAAAATAAAATTAAAGATCAAGGCTAATGCACCTGGTTAAGCAGTAAACGTTTGTTCCTAAATAATCTTAAGTGGCTTATGTAACTCAGTGCATGTTTTATTATTATATTCAAATAAATACAAATGTATACTAATGATACAGTTGAAGGTAAAAAGTGGTCTGCTCATTAAAAGCCCATTGTGACACAAACTGGTGCAGTGTAGTAGCTGTAAGCATGATTCTTTTGTATCTGATATTCATTTTCCAGATGAATGATGGATACTCAGTTTAAATTTATCATGAATACATCTGCAGATGGAAATAAGATGCAGTAAATGTCTGTGGTTGTCTATTAATGGCTATGCTTCATCATATAATAGTTGAATGACTTATGATCATGTAGTTCAGGACATCTTTAATTAATTTTTGAATTGAGTCTTCATTCTCAACCTCAGACTATGTTTTATTAGTAGGTCAACATGAAGAGTCTGCTAAAGTGCAGTGTGTGGCTGTGCAAATATATTTGGAAGCACATAGTTCATTGCTGGATGTCAGACATTTTACCTGCCTACCTAACTAATTGAGAATCATAAGACTAGGAAGCCATAGTAATGAATGAGACAGTGTAGTCTGACCAGGCATAAGTGAATTAGAATTGATGAACTTGATATGAGTAGATTCACACTGTCATTTTAAATATAACACAGTTTAACTCATTTTCCTGCTCTTGAGAATTTATTGCAACCATTAAAAGTATAGGAAAGCATGCTGAATTTTAAATTGCTTTCTCTATACAAGCCTTATTATAGTAGAAGATTTATTGAAGGATAACCTTTCTATAAAAAAGTGGTGTTGCTCTAAGTTCATGTAAAATAGACATTCTGGCATCTAAGAGATGTCATTAATGTCCCTGAGGAGCAAGAGGTGTTAGAAGGAGAGAAGAGGGAAGAGTATTTCCAGAGTCATAAATGAAAACTCATTCTCTGTTCTTTTTCTGTCCAAAGAGCAGTAGAGATAAATTTAATACATAATTTTATTTGAGAATTTAACTTTCTGTAGATTTCTGTTTATCAAAATTGAAGAATTCTGTAAGTTTTTCAAGTCTTTTGACAGTCCAACTTTGACAAATACTTAAGGATCTTAAGTATTAATAAAGATTTAAGTATTAATAAAGATTTTTTCTACAAAAATCTCTAATAACTGGTGACTGAGCCAACTTCTGGCCTGCCAGCCTTTGTGTATGATTTTACCTTTATGCTCTTTTACTCTGAGTCTTGTGTCTGTTTCTTAAAGCCATGTCATTTATTCACAGAAACACAGAATGTTTGAGGTTGGAGGGAACATCTGAAGATCATCTAGTCTAAATCTCCTGACAAGCAGGATCGCCTAGAGCACATTGTGCAGAATGGCATCCAGGCAGGTTTTGAATATCTCCAGAGAAAGAGACTCCACAACCTCCCTGTTCCAGTGTTCTGTCAGTCTCACATTAAAGAAGTTTTTCCTCACATTCAGCTGGATCTTCCTGTGTTTCAGCATCTGCCCTTTGCTTCTATCACTGGGCACCACCAAAAAGAGTCCAGCCCCATTATCTTGACATTCACCCTTAATATATCTGTATATATTGATAAGATTCCCTTCTCAGCCTTCTTCTTTCCAGGCTAAACAGGCCCAGCTCTCTTTGCTCATAAGAGAGATGCTCCAGTTCTCTAATCATCTTTGTAGCCCTCCATGAGACTCTATTTAGGAGCTCCATATCTCTCTTGTACTAGGGAGCCCAGAACTGGACACGTTATCCAAATTTGGTCTCACCAGGGCTGAATACAGTGGGAGGATGATCTTATTTGACCTGCTGGCAACCCTGTCCTTAATGCGCTCCAGGATGCCATTGGCCTTCTTGGCCACAAAGGCGCATTGCTGGCTCATGGTTATCTTGCTGTCTGCCAGGACTCCCAGATCCTTCTCCATAGAGCTAATTTCCTGCAGGTCAGCCCCCCAGCCCATACTGATTCATGGTGCTATTTCTCCCTAGGTGCAGGAACCATCTTAGCCCATTCATCTTAGCCCAGCTCTCCAGCCTGTCTCTCTGAATGACAGCACAGTCTTCTGGTGTATCAGCTCTTCCTCCCAGTTTTGTGTCATCAGCAAGCTTGCTAAGAGTGCACTCTGTCCCTTCATCCAGGTCATTGATGGGTGTTGAACAAGAGTGGACCCAGTACTGTCTCCTGGGGGACACCTTTAGCTACAACCTTCTATCCAGACTATGCTGCTTGGCCACTCTCACAACACTCTGAGTTCTGCCATCCAGCCAATTCTTAGTCCACCTCACTGCCCACTCATCTAACCCACACTTCCTGAGCTTATGTCTGAGAATGTTCTGGGAGACAGTGTCAAAAGCCTTTCTGATGTCAAGGTAGACAACATCCACTGCTCTCACCCCATCTACTCAGTCATTCCACCGCAGAAGGCTATCAGGTTCATTAAACATGATTTCCCCTTGGTGAATCCATGCTGACTACTCCTGCTCACTTTCTTTTCCTTCACATGCTTATAGGTGACACCCAGGATGAGCTGTTCCATCACCTTTCTAGGGATGGAAGTGAGTCTGACTGGCCTGTAGTTTCCTGGTTCCTCTTTCTTGCGCTTTTTGAAGACTGGAGGGACAGAGGCTTTCTTCCAGTCCTTGGGCATCTCCCTACTCCCTCAGTGTAATGGGGGAGAAAATTGAAAAGTGCAAGAACTCATGGGTTGAGATAAGGACAGTTTAATAAGAAAAAAAAAAAAAAAAGATATTCAATATAATTGCTCACCACCAGCTGACTGATGATTCAGGTGCCCCCCTTAGCCAACTCCCCTGGTCTTACTGTTCAGCATGAACAATTCATAAGGTATGGAATACGCCTTTGGATATCTGACAGTTTGGGTCAACTGTCCTGGTTCTGTCCCCTCACAGATCCTTGTGCACACCTAGCTTCCTTGTTTGCAGGGCAGCACAGGAATCTGAAAAGCCCTTAACTTAGTGTAAGTACTTCTCAGTAACAACTAAAGCAGAAGTGTATTGTCTGCATTATTTTGATCCTAAATCTAAAACACTGTGCCATATAAACTACTAGGAAAAAAAATAACTCTATCCCAGTTGAAAACAGGACAAAAAATAATCCAAGATTGCCCATGAAACACAAGTCATTCTGTATTTTGTTCCACTTCTATAAACAATTTTATGCCCAAGTGTGAGCTGTTTATTTACTGGTGAAGAATATGCCCTTAACTGCCCCACACAGGGTTGGGACAATCCCAGACAAGAGTATAGACTGAGAGAAAAACTCTTTGAGAGCAGCACTGCAGAGAAAGGCTTTGGGGTTCTGGTGGATGAAAGGCTCAACATGAGACAGCAATGTACGCTTGCAGCCCAGAAGGCCAGATCTTACCTGGGCTGCATCAACAGAGATGTCACCAGCTGGTCAATGTAGGTGATTGTGCCCCTCTACTCTGCCCTGGTGAGGCCTCACTTGCAGTGCTGTATCCAGGTTTGTGGCCCCATCACAAGAAAGATGTGGACCTGTTAGAGTCAGTCCAGAGGAGGGACTGACAAAGATGATCAGAGGGCTGGAGCACTTATCCTATGAAGAAAGGTTGAGGGAGCTGGGGATGTTCAGTCTGTAGAAGAGAATCCTGCCTTTCAGTATTTAAAGGAGTCTTATAAAAAGGATGGAGAAGGACTCTTTACTCGGGTAGATAATATTAGAACAAGGGGGAGTGGTCTTAAACTAAAAGAGGACAGATTTAGATGATTATAAGTTAGGAGGAAATTCTTCACTCAGAGGGTGGTGAGGCCCTGGAACGGGTTGCACAGAGAAATTGTGGATGCCCCATCCCTGGAGGTGTTCAAGGCCAGGGTAGATGGGGCCTTTGCCAACCTGAGCTAGTGGGTGGCATCCCTGCCTATGGCAGGGGAGGTTGAGTCAGATGATCTTTAATGTCCCTTCCAACACAAGTCATTCAAAGATTCTCTATGATTCTACAGGTTTGTTTTTTTTTTGTTGTTGTTGTTTTTTGTTTTGTTTTGTTTTGTTTTGTTTTGTTTTGTTTTGTTTTTTCCTGTTTCTATTCTTTATTCTCTACAAATTTATCTGCAGTTGAATTTTCCAGGAGTGAAGATTACATGCACAGCTATGTTAAATCAGAATAGCTGGTGCACGTCAAAGTTTGGTTCATCATTTTAAGTTAATTACTCAGATAAATGTAGAACAACAGCAGCAAAGCTTGCATAAATAAAAGAAATCTCTCCAGTGCATATTTTTGAATAGGCTATGTTAGTCCTCTTATTATATCTATCTTTACCATGTGAACCTGGGCATAGAGATTACATTTAGTAGATCTTTTTAGAATTGCTCTTTCAAGTTTTACTTGAAAAAAATGCTTCCATTAGTAAAAAACCGTTGCTAAAATAGACCATATATGTTTGTCATATATTGTTATTTAGACAATCTGAAATTCTGACAGTTATAATAGTGATGGACAGGAACAAAAGTATCAGTGAT